GGCCGGTTTTTTGGGAATTCCGGCCGGTTTTTTGGGAATTCCGGCCGGTTTTTTGGGAATTCCGGCCGGTTTTTCAGGAATTTCAGCCGGTTTTTTGGGAATTGGGGCCGGTTTTTCGGGAATTGGGGCCGGTTTTTCAGGAATTTCAGCCGGTTTTTTGGGAATTCCGGCCGGTTTTTTGGGAATTGGGGCCGGTTTTTGGGGAATTCCGGACGGTTTTTTGGGAATCGTGTCCCGGCTCCGGGATTTGGGCTCAGCTGTTCCCGATGAATTCCCGAGGATGCGGAAGGAGCCGCAGCTGCTCCGGATTTGGGATCCGGGGGCGTTTCCTTCCGGCCTTTTCCCGGGAACGCTCCGAGTTTTCCACATGTGGCCGGAATTAGGGAGCCGGGAAAGGGGAGGGATTTCTCCAGAGGAATTCGGGAATCGGCCGGGAAAAGGGGGGAATTGATCCCTAAAAAATCCGGGAAAAGGGGGGAATTGATCCCTAAAAAATCCGGGAAAAGGGGGGAATTGATCCCTAAAAAATCCGGGAAAAGGGGGGAATTGATCCCTAAAAAATCCGGGAAAAGGGGGGAATTGATCCCTAAAAAATCCGGGAAAAGGGGGGAATTGATCCCTAAAAAATCCGGGAAAAGGGGGGAATTGATCCCTAAAAAATCCGGGAAAAGGGGGGAATTGATCCCTAAAAAATCCGGGAAAAGGGGGGAATTGATCCCTAAAAAATCCGGGAAAAGGGGGGAATTGATCCCTAAAAAATCCGGGAAAAGAGGGGAAAAAATCCGGAAAAGGGGGGGAATTTTTCCGTAAAAACTCTCGGAAAAGGAGGGAATTTATCCCTAAAAAATCAGGAATTTATCCCTAAAAAATCCAGGAAAAGGAGGGAATTTATCCCTAAAAACTCTGGGAAAAGGAGGGAATTCTTCCTTAAAAACTTCAGGAAAAGGAGGGAATTTATCCCTAAAAACTGCGGGAAAAGGAGGGAATTTATCCCTAAAAAATCCGGGAAAAGGAGGGAATTTATCCCTAAAAACTCTGGAAAATTATGCCTAAAAATGAGGGAATTTTTCCATAAAAATCAGGGAATTTTTCCATAAAAATGAGGGAATTTTTCCATAAAAAATCAGGGAATATTTCCATAAAAAATCAGGAATTTTCTCCCTAAAAAAGAAGGAATTTCTCCCTAAAAGCCCAGGAAAAGCAGCAAATCCAGGACTCTCCCAATCCCAAATCCCGGGATTTGTTGTTTCCGGGGAGGCCTTGGGCTGCTTCATCCCGGGATTTTCTCCTCCAGCTCCCGGAATTCCGGGATCTCGGCTTTTCCCGCTTGGATTTTCCGGCTTTTTTCCCCTCCGAGCTCGGGATCGGGCGCCGTGCCAAGCTCGGCTTCAAAATGGAGGCAGGAAGGGAATCCATTTTCCAGGGATTCGGGATTCGGGATTCGCCTTTCCCGACCATCTGGAAGGAAAAAAATCCGGGAATAAATCCATCCCGGAATTCCCTGAGCTGCTGGGAAGGGATTTGGGGCTGGAAATTCCCTAAATCCGGCCGATATTCCCAAAAAAAATCAGCTGAGGGTTGGGAAAAACCGGGAAGGTAAAAAATCTGGGAATAAATCCATCCCGGAATTCTCTGAGCTGTTGGGAGGGGATTTGGGGCTGGAAATTCCCTAAATCCGGCCGATATTCCCAAAAAAAATCAGCTGAGGGTTGGGAAAAACCGGGAAGGTAAAAAATCTGGGAATAAATCCATCCCGGAATTCTCTGAGCTGTTGGGAGGGGATTTGGGGCTGGAAATTCCCTGAATCCGGCCAATATTCCCAAAAAAATCAGCTGAGGATGGGGAAAAACCGGGAAGGAAAAAAATCTGGGAATAAGGGGATTTGGGGCTGGAAATTCCCTGAATCCGGCCAATATTCCCAAAAAAATCAGCTGAGGATGGGGAAAAACCGGGAAGGTAAAAAATCTGGGAATAAATCCATCCCGGAATTCTCTGAGCTGTTGGGAGGGGATTTGGGGCTGGAAATTCCCTAAATCCGGCCGATATTCCCAAAAAAATCAGCTGAGGGTTGGGAAAAACAGGGAAGGAAAGAAATCCGGGAATAAATCCATCCCGGAATTCCCTGAGCTGCTGGGAAGGGATTTGGGGCTGGAAATTCCCTAAATCCGGCCGATATTCCCAAAAAAAAGGGAAAAACCGGGAATAAAGGCCGGGAATAATTCCAAAGGAAGGAATTTCCCCCCCTGCGCTGCTGCAGCTTTTTTAGGCAATTCCCAGGAATTCCAATCCCGGGATTTTTCTTGGGGTTTCTGTTGAAAATCTGGGAATTTTTTCTCCCATCGGAGGAGCCGGAGAATTCCGCGGGCTCGGATCCCAAAAAAAAAAAAGCCGGCATTGTTCCCGGTTCCTGTTTATTCCCGCGGCGGGAAAAACATCTGCGGGATAATTGAATTCCCAGAAATTCGGGAGAAGAAAAAAAGACGGAGAAATTTTGTTTTTAAGGAGCAGGGATCGGGAGGATTTTCCGGGATCATTCCCAAAGGGATTTAGGGAGGGGGGGAAAAAAAAAGGGGGAAAATTCCCGATTTTTTCTTTTTTTTTGGGATTTTTTTTTCCGTAGGTTTACGCTCCGTCCGCCAGCACCGCCGACTACAACCGGGATTCTCCGGGATATCCGTCCTCCAAACCGGCATCCAGCACTTTTCCCAGCTCCTTCTTCATGCAAGGTGAATCCCAAATTCCCGCTTTTCCCGGGATTTCCTTCGGGAATCCAGCCCCGCAAGCGTCGGGGGGGGGGGGAAAATCTGGGAATGTTTAAGGATGGTGGGAGGGGAATCCGTGGATTTTTGGGGTGGGATGGGGACGGTTGTTCTTTTTCCAGGTGGCAATTCCGCGATGTCACTTCGGTTCCGGGAGGAAAACGCCGGGAAAATCCTGGATTTCCTAAAAACTTGGGGAAAGTCTCCCTAAAAAGGAGGGAATTTTCTCCCTAAAAATGAGGGAATTTTTCCTTAAAAAATGAGGATTTTTTTCCCTAAAAACTCTGGAAAAATTTCCCTAAAAAGGAGGGAATTTTCCCCTAAAAAAGAGGGATTTTTTCCTAAAAAGGATGGAATTTTTCCCTAAAAAAGGATGGAATATTTCCCTAAAAAGGATGGAATTTTTCCCTAAAAAGGATGGAATT